GCTTAACAATATAAGGAACCCTAGGTCTTCCTGTTTGTTCTAAATAAAAATGACTATTACAGAACTGTTTTCTCCTTTCTATCTCGAGGACCTGAAAAACTATTGAAGTCTTGTCATTTTCACGCACGGTTAATCAGTTAAATATGCGAGGTTCACAAGCCCAAAGTTGAATACAAATTAGCTCTACAGGAAAAAACTCAAGGGAGCAACCCTGACGTATTATTATAAAACAAATAACTTAACAAGGATCAATTAAAACACGCGACTCATAATTGCTACAACCAGTTGCAAAAGTACTTGAGACATTGTACCGTATTTTGGCATAAATGGCCTGTCCATGATCTTGTGCTTGTGATCCCCCCTCCACCCCTTATCAAAGTTGCTAGCAATACAAGACCATACTCAAAACTTGGAGGAACAACTTTGAATGGGAGGGAGGAGAGAGGTCAGTAGTATATTTTACAGACCTGTGACCAGGAGCGATTAGAAGCAAGAAAGGTCGTTTTTCCGTGGGAGTGTCTCATCTTTTTTGCAACTGGTTGTAGCAATAAAATCAGACACGAGACACCGTTTAAAACAAAAAGAGTCAAATACACAGTGATTTGAAAGAAATCTATTAAAATAGTCAAAGAAAGCAAGCCATCCTTTTTTTTAACATTGCGCACAATGTTTTACTTACCCCTCGCCCTTTTCAATTTTATTTCCCTCCTCAATTTTTTTTATTCCCTCCTCCACAATTTTTATTATTTCCCCTCCTCAATGTTTTTTATTCCCCTCCTCCACCTCCACCTCCTCATTTCTATTGTTTTCTCTCCACCACCACCACCACCGCCACCGCCACCGCCACATTTCTATTGTTTTCCCTCCACCACCACCGCCACATTTCTATTGTTCTCTTCCCACCACCACAACCACCACCACCACCCCCGCCACATTTCTATTGTTTTCCTTCCACCACCACCACCACCGCCACATTTCTATTGTTTTCCCTCCACCACCACCACCTCCACATTTCTATTGTTTTCCCTCCACCTCCTCCTATCGTTTCCGGAGGTGGAGGAGGGGAATAAAAAACATTGAGGAGGGGAAATAATAAAAATTTATCTCCCCATAAGGTTGGAATCTTGTGACCCTTGGCTGAGGTGAATACGAGAGCCAATCCTTGATACCATGCGATATTGGCTGGTCCATCTACAGGAAAAATCCACACTCTTTTTTGTAGTATGTCAGAAACATTCGATCCTGGCTCCAAGGCTGTTTACTTTTTGTCAATGCTAGCTCGTAGAACAATCACAGACCAACCGAGCTGCATATTTTTTCACATCAGAGTGTGTATGATGCGCGATCCACTCTATGTCCTCTTTCCATTCTGAAGCAGGGCAAACATAAAACACATTTTCTCGGGGCAGTACACATAGCAAAATCCTTGCGCTTTTTCTACCAATTCCAACGTTGAGCGGGGATGAAACGGGCAGAACTGACCGGGTAAGGAACTGGCTTTATCTTCAGTCAGCAGAGGTGAAGCGCTCGATTCGACTTGCATGTTTGAAGCAATGTTTTAAAAAATATTGGTGATAGTAAGACTTTTTCCTTAGCAAAGCTATTGCGAGAATGAAGTGCTGAAGGGAAAGCGCGCTTTTATGTCAAACACATAATAGATTGTTTACTATCCAATCAGGGTTAAAAGAGTAGGGACATGATATCACTTTTCTATTTATAGATTATGATGTCAACATTTTTTGATGACGTCAAGCCCTTGGGTATTCTGACGTCACTGGCTCCTTGCCAGCTACAAATAAACTATGACATCATCCTATCTTAATGGCATGCATGACGTCATCAGCATTTATTTAAACTATGACATCATCGTATCTTAATGAGATGCATGACGTCATCTGCGTTAATGTTTTCCCCCCGCAAGTTAATGGAATTCCAAAGAACCAGAGTAACCAGTGCCTCCCCTACTACTCGCCTGGAAATCCGGCCTTTCTTCAACAGTTGTGAATAGTGTCAGGGCTCACGTTGTCCCACGCTTTGGCTAGCATAAAAGTAGCATCCTCAAGATCTATCTCTTTGATGGGCCGATCCTCATCCAAATACTGCACCATTCTTCGAATTATTGCCTGGCGGTAGTAGACCTTCAGGTTCTGAATAATACCCTGGTCTGCAGGCTGAAGTCTACCTGTACAGTTTGACGGGAAAAATATCAATCGCGTGTTTGTTAGGCCAGTGACTGACACGTGTGCAGTGCAGTTATCGATGAACAGCAGGATATGCCGCTTTGCCGCTTTCATCTTCTGATCAATTTTTCAAAGCCATTCTTCGAATAAAACACTGTCTATCCATGCCTTCTTTTGTGATTTGTAGGTCACTGGAATCAAATCCATATTGCTTCCCCTGAAACACCGTGGTTTGGCATATTTCCCGATAACTAACAGGGGTAGCTTGTCTTTTCCGTCTTGGTGGCATAATATAAGAAGAGTAACATGCTCTTTACTGTTCTTCCCCCCACCGCACTTTTGTCCTTTAAAATGGAGGGTTTGTGTTGGAGTTGCTTTCCACGGAAGGCTCTCTGGGCCCGTAGCTACGGCAAATATCTGGGAGACGTTCTGCCCATGTGTCCGCTACACTGGAGTCGACGCTTTTTTCTTCACTGCAAACATTCTGGCCTGTGATACCTTGTCTTTCTTTAAATCTGTCTAAAAGTCCATTGCTTGCCTTCAAATTTTCGTAACCGAGTTGCTCTGCAAAGTACCGAGCTTTCTCTGCCAAAAGTGGTCCATTAACTGGGACATTAATGCTTCGCACGTTTTTGAACCATTCTGGTAGTGCTTTTTCCACATCAGGGTAAGACGGCTGCTTCATCCTCTTGCGCTTGTCCTTGTACAGGCCTCCCTCATAGGCGCTTATGATCTCCTTTTCACTCCGCACAATAGTCGCAACAGTTGATTGAGATAAAGGGGGGTCAAAAAGCTGTGCAACTTCGGCTTGTTTCTTTCCACTGTTGATTGCTTTCACAACTTTATACTTCTCTTCCAACTTCAAAACTCTTCGACTGCTCTTCTTCTTCGCAGTGGCTTTCTTTGCGCCGGGTTTCCGAACAGGAATTTCATCGACTTTCTCTTCGCTTGACATCTTAGAGTGCAGCTCTCCGCAACTAAGTGTACCACAGTAACACGTGTTTGCTGTTGTGTCATCTCAGATGGAAACTGATACTGTATGACCTTTCTTTCATATTTAATTCATATAACAAAGGCATACCTGAAAATGTATTTAAATTCTAACGGAAGACCAGAAGCATTGGGGCTCAATGAAAGGCTCGCCCATGTCATTTCTTGATGTGGTAGGCAGTTTCTCACACGCTGACCTGTAAGCTGCAATACTGCTGTACTTCACACCCTTAGCTTTGATTATTTGAGTGGAAAGTGTCGACGAGAGAAAGAGGAAAACGTCATGGACAAGTCTACATATTCATTCAAGTCTTGTATTCGAGGGTACCACGAATACAGGGACATTTGGGACGCAGCTATTGGTGAAGTTCTTGACTGTGAGTAAGGTTTAATTCCACTTTGCAATACAGTTGAAGATTAGCAGATGGCAAAGATAAAAGCAAAGACCATGTTTGGCCATGTTTTCAAGCCAAATTACGTTGTATTTTGTCAATAGAAACTTTATTTTGTTTTATTTTGCCACAGCACGAACCAAATAATCCTCAGGATATTCATGCTGTTGCCATAAAACGAATGGAGGGCAAAAGAAAGCACAAGCAAGTCATCGTCGGCCACGTGCCGCTGTGACTGTCACGAATCTTTCATTTATTTTTTAAACATGGAGGGCAGATTTCCGTTCAAGTTACAGGAAAACGCAGGAACAAAGGCATCGGCCCTAAAATCCTGGCGACGTATACTTTTTGTCACAAGAAGGAGTCAAAAATACTAAAACTGAAAGAACTATTAAATGACAAGGAGGATAATTAAATAAATAAATAACGATTTGCAGGTAGCACATCCACTTAGTGGTTCTTCTTCTACCTGATTCCTGGTCGAATTGGAATTTGGAAATGTTGGATAAAGAAACAAAGGAGACTTTTGTCTGATTGGTCAATCTCATCTGTGATTTTATTGGTCAAACTGTAAAAAGTGATTCTAAGAGCGGGAAAGAACGGAAGGCGAGAGGCAGCTTTGGAGGCGTCGGTTAACATTTTCTCTCATTAAGATTGATAGTCTGTTTGTGCAAGAAGGACCCGGTTTAAAAGGAAACTGTTTAGTTTCCCGAAAACATAGGTTGGTACTTATTTTTTGTGGCAGAGGCTTCGTACTATAAAGGGAAATTGTGACGAGTGATCGACGGATCAATCCAACCCGGTGAGTCAAAACCTACCGTGTTTGGCGCAGCGAAAGCCGCGAGACGTGGAGGAAAATTTCGCCTTTCTTGAACTGTCCTTCATTATTACCGGAGTTTTCAGCACAGGAATGAATAACTGTTAAATAAAGTAAGTTGTTGTACAATGAAAACGTGTGAATTTTATCATAGTGATGAGATTTTAACTGAAACAGCGATAAGAGCCTATCCACTGACGCTGTGGAAAATTTGAAGGTACATGATAATTAGCACGCAACTCACTAATAATAGCTTAGTTTAGCTAAAAGATGTTTGATGGGCCCCTAAACCAAGACAAAAATGCAAGAATAAAATGAGGAAGTCGTTGTTAAAAAGAAAATAAGATGGTTTCATTGATAGAATTGTGATAAGTTTTCAAACACTGGCAGTTTCAAGAGTCGACACCAAGCAGAAGAGGGAAAATTCACAGTTTTCAGAAAAAATTGTTTAAGTATTCGAGACTTTTGCCGTGGGCTTTGGGACAAGAAATCCCTTTTGTGAGAGATAGTGCATATATCTAGGAAGTGGCTTGTACAAATAAAATGCAATATAAAGTGGCATTGCACTAAAGAAAAGCCAAAAAGTTGTATCTTCTCAACGCAAAAACCATCAAAATGGCGTCCCAGGACTATTTTTATTGTTTCTAATTATGCTTACAATGTCACTAATTTTAGAGTCTGAAAGTCCTGGCCCTGAAAGAGTACAAAATTTCAAGTAATATTTACTATCATTTCGATGCATTACCTTGAACTGTGACGAATAATGAATGTTTTAATGTTGCGCGCATGGAATTTTTAACGAAAGAGACGGGAAATTTTCTTGCCGTTAGGACAATTATAGCCAAAAAGTCTATTTAGAGTTCGAGGGACGCAAATCGCTTTAAACCTATAACAGACGAGTAATGAAAGAACAAATTGTAACAATGACACCCGGATGGCCGTGTAATAAACCCAGATTTAACTTTAAAATGAACTACACTTTATTCGGCCGCCATGACACCCGGAAAGCATGGCCCACACAAATATCCATGATCCTTTGCACGTTTACAGTAACCGAGAACTTCCGCTAACACAACTTCCGGTAGACAATAATATCGATACATTACATCCCTTCCTTTCTTTAGAAACAAACAGACTACGAGAAAAAGTCAATAAGGCACTTAACAGCGAAAAATAAATCTGTATGAAAACTGTTCTGCTCGCATTGAGTTATCTCAATAAGACTGTTCAATAAAATCTAATAACATGAAATCAAATCTAACAGACTTCAACATAAGTCCAACGTGTCAACAGAGTTCAGTTCATAAAGTACATAGTCCTTGTACTTCTCCGGCATTCTGACAGTCCATCTTGGTCTTGATGTTGCTATACTCTCCTCCGAGGAATAGCATTGGGTGCTTCTTGGGAAGCGGCCTCTGTGGCTTCTGGGGATTCCCCTGGTGGGTTGTACCGCTTAACAAATGAACTGTTCCGCCTGTATTCCACACCCTCCTTTGACCTAACAGTCACCTCACTGCCTTCCTTAGTCTGCACTGTGTATGGCTCACTCTCGAAATTTGCTTCTAGCTTGCCAGACGTTTTCGTGTTCTTCAGTAAAACCAGATCTCCAGGCACTACAGGGCTTTCGGCTGCACCCCGCTTGTTGTCAGCATGTTCCTTGTGGGCGAACTTGTGATTCCAGTCACGATCTCTGACCCCCTCGTCCAACAGGTTACCAGCGCGCCTCAACTCTGGAAGTTTGGTTTTCAACTCTCTGCCAAACATAAGGAA